ATTCATAAAATTTATTATTACAATTATTTATCAAGGGTTACTTATTATAGATAAGCAATCAGACTTTTCTATAACTCGTAATTTCAATATTTGTTTACAGTTATTTGGGACCGTTTAACATCCCTAATTTTTTCAAAAATTTGAAAGATCATTTACCTTAAAATCTACATGAAAATCTTGATGAATATCAAAAAAATTGATTGCATTTATGTCACATTATACATATAAGATTTATTGAAATTTACAATTACCTGCTACTCTTTCTCAGCTTGATTCTGATGAGGTTTTGATTAATGTAGATTATAAAATGTATATTAATCCTAAAAAGGCAAGAGAAACAAAAGATGAATATGTTTGGTAAACGCAGATGGACTTTACATACTATTTTATTATATACTAAAATCAACATACCAATAATCTCAATATTAATGCTTTTGATCACTGGAATGAAGACACCAAGCAAAATGCTTGGTTTTACAGCATATTCTTTACATGGAATCATTAAAATACTTGAAAGAAAATCCAAATTTGTAACCATTAAATCTGATAATGATGGATATTATTATAACAGAATTAATGATAATATTATCATATTAGAAAAAATGATATAACATATGCGTTGAAAAGTGGATTTTTTTTGAAAGCTGATGAGACAAAAACTGCTATAGATTCACATCATACTCAAATAAGTAATTTGTTTTATTTTTATTATTTTGTGTTGTAATGTAATCAAAAATTTTCTGTTGAGATTACATATGATATCACCCAGTATGTTAAACTTGCTTCTAATGAAGATATTGAGGTAGCGATCAAAGATCAGATATCCATATAGCAAGCCTTCAACCTAATCGAGATCAAGGTAATAAATATATTTGTAAATTTGCATTACATTTCAATTTTAATAATGAAATAAATTTTCTATAATTCAAGTAGAAAAACAAAAACAAAAAATGTGAATAATTACAGGAATTCAAAATTGGAATTTACTTAAAAATATAATGATGATGAAAGTGGAGAGATAAACACATTTCTCCTAATTTAATTCAAAGAATTGTTAAAAATCAGATAATTACCCAACAAATCCTGTAATTTCGGTACATTCAAATCTCCAAAAAACATGGACTATACCAAGAATCAATCATCAAGGTATGATATCATAATAAAATCAATTTGTAATTTGAATTATTTATTTTTTTGTTTTGAAATGAATACTATTAATGAAAATACAGAAGATTAAATAAATAATTCAGTAAATAATACATAAAATAATATAATGAAACATAATAATCTAATTAAAAATATATTATATAATAGGAATACATAGTGGATGATTTAACGAAACAAATTGAAGTAGAATTAAATTTGAAATGTAGAGAGTAATAATTTATAATTCATTTTATTATTTTTTTTATCATTACTATTACTGACCTTTACCTTTTTCACCACCTTTATCTCCTTTTATTACAATTACTTTCGCTACCTTTATCTCCTTCATTATCACCACTACCTTTATTTCCTTCATTATCACCACTACCTTTATCTCCTTCATCATCACCATTACCATTATTACTGTTACTTATTATTACCATTACCTGTGCTTCTTTCATCATTACTATTACCTTTGTTTTCTTTATTGCTGCTAATACTTTTATCTCTTCATCATTACTATATCTACTTTTTATCTCCATTATCTGCTATTTTTTCACCACCATTGTCTACTAATTTTTCACCACCATTACCTTTTATTTTTTCACTGCCATTACCTCTCCTATTTTAATATAACCATTACTTTTATTTACTTTATAACTATTATCTAGTGTTCTGCAAAAAATCGGATTCAATCTGAATCTGATCTAGATCTGACGGATCGGATTGAATCAGATTTATCAGATTCGAAACAGATTCAGATCCGAATTTTGATTTGATTTGATCTGTCAGATCCAGATCAGTTTCGGATTTGGATTTGATTCAATCTGACGGATTCAGATTTGGATTCAGATTAGATCCATCAGATTCAGATTTGAATTCAAATCTGATTTGTTGGATTTGAAATAAAAAATGCCGCCCCAAAGTCGAACACGACATTTATTATTAAAAAAATTAAATTTTAATAATAAAATACCGCCCGAAAGTCGGACATGACATTTATTATTAAAAAATTAATTTTTATTAATTTTTATTAATTATTTATATAAAAATGCCGTCCCAAAAGACGGATGCAGCATTTATTAATAAAAATTTTATTTTTATTAATTTTTTATATTAAAATGCTACCCCGAAAGTAAGACAGCATTTATTAATAAAAAATTAATTTTTATTAATTTTTTATATTAAAATACCGCCCCAAAAGTCGGATATGGCATTGATTAATAAAAAAATTAATTTTTATTAATTTTTTATATTAAATGCTGTCCCGAAAGTCGGATGCAGAATTGATTAATAAAAAAATTAATTTTATTAATTTTTTATATTAAAATGCCACCCTGAAAGTGGGACGCGGCATTAATTATTAAAAAATTAAATTTTAATAATAAAATGCCACCCCGAAAGACAGATGCAGCATTTATTAATAAAAAATTTAATTTTTATTAATTTTTTATATTAAAATGCCGGCCCGAAAGTCAGATGCGGAATTTATTAATAAAAAAATTAATTTTTATTAATTTTTTATATTAACGTTAACATGCCGCCTCAAAAGTCAGATGCGGCATTTATTATTAAAAAATTAAATTTTAATAAAGTCAGACGCGGCATTTATTATTAAATAAATTAATGTTTAATAAAAAAAATTCTGCCCTGAAAGTTTGATGTGATATTTATTAATAAAACAATTAATTTTATTAATTTTTTATATTAAAATGCTACCACGAATGTCAGATATAGCATTTATTAATAAAAAAATTAATTATAATTAATTTTTATATAAAAATGACATCCCAAAAAGTCAGACACGGCATTTATTAATAAAAAAATTAATTTTTATTAATTTTTTATATAAAAATGCCACCCCGAAAGTCGGACGCAGCATTTATTAATAAATAAATTAATTTTTATTAATTTTTTATATAAAAATGCCGCCCCAAAAGTCGGACGTGGCATTTATTATTAAAAAAATTAATTTTTAATAATAAAACACTGATCCGAATGTTGGAGGCGGATTTTTGTTAAAAATACAACAAAATTGTTGTTTTTTTAACATTAAAACACTGTTGCGAACGTCGGAGGCAGATTTTTGTTAAAAAAACAACAATTTATTGTTTTTTTAATATTAAAATGCCATTCTGAACAGTGGAGGCAGATTTTTATTAAAAAATTTTTTGATCTGTCAGATACGGATACAGATTCAGATTTATCAGATTCAGATCGAATCGGATTCAGATTTGTTAGATTCGAATCGACTCAGATTCAGATTTTTTGGATTCGGATTGGATCAGATTTTGCCTAAATCCGATCTGATCTATGCGGAATACTACCATCATCACTTTCACTACTCTTATTACCACCATTACCTTCGTTCCTTTTATCACTACCATTACACTCACCTCTTTTTTACCAATATTACCTCCTACTTTTTAACTACCATTACCTTCTACAATTACTTTGCTTAATTTATCACTGCCATTACTTGCATTCTTTTCATCACCGCCATTATCTTTACCTTCTTCATTGCTTTCACCTTTCATTACTTTCTACTTTTTCATTGTCATTACCTTCTTCTACTTTATTATCGCTACCTTTATCACTACCATAACCTTCATCACAATTTTACCTTTGACTCCTTTATTATTATTATTACCATTATTTCAATTTTGAAAAATAAAACTTATAAACTTATTTGCAATTATTTTTATTCAGTTTGGAGATTTTTGTTTAGGTTGGGCATTACAACAAAATCAAAAAGCTAGGGAGCCAGTAAAACGAATACCTGCACATATAAAAAATCTTCTTAACATAATGTTTCCCGGAACTGCTAATCCAAAAAAATAATGACAGTAGATGAAATGAGAAGTGAGTTGATACAAGAAGGAGAAATAGAAGAAGAAAGTGTACTTAAGGAAAGTATTATTGAAAATTGGATTACTTCCTTTTCACGAGGTTAGAAAAATGCAATGGCACTTCAGGCATTTGAAGCAGCAGAATGCTCTTTAGATGTAGGAAGGTCCTAGAAAACAACTTAAAAGGCTAATATTTGTTTATTTTTAGTATAAATAATAAAATAAGTTGCAATAAAGTATTGGAATTTAGTCATATTTGAATACGAATGTATATAAACTTATTGTTTTACATATGAATATAATTTTATTGTCTGTGCGTCATTAATGAATTATCTTTTTTAGAAGTTGTTATACTATGCATGTGATCAACAAATTTAACTATTTAACCCAGATAGTAAAAGTGCTGATCTTAGATGAATTGGTAATTAAGCAACATAAACCATGATAAACTTGCCAACCCGTAATCATAGAAAGATAAGATTTAGTTATTTAAAAACTTTATGAAGATTCTTCAATATCGAACCATTTAAAGCAGATCATTGTATGTATTTTTATATTTCAGCAAATTACATAATCATGAAAGGTTGTATGTGATATAAATTTATAATATAAAATGATAAAGTTAATAAGTAAAATTTTTTATCATTTTGTGTTTATTTCTGTGTTCAAACCAAAAAATAGATTTAAAAACAGAAATAAAAAATTAGAAGCCTCTTCTGACATACTGACAGAATTTTTATTGATTATATTTAATATTATAATAACTTTTCACTTGTCGGAGATGACTAGTATTTTTAAAATTATTTATTTTTTGATTCAGATTGATTTTGCCCAAATCTGAACGAAAAATAATGAAGTTAGTAATATTTAATTGATAGCACTTTTTTCTGCTTGATTGGATTACTATTTATTCATGACTTGAGAAAGTTTGATATTAGAATGTGATTCATTTATTTTGTATTATAATAAAAGCGAACAGAATGGTATAAAACATAAGTATTTAATCATGAAGGGGTTTATTTACAACTATAAATAAAATTTGAATATTTAATTTTAAAACAATAGATAAAACATAAATTTTCAATTTTCAATAATAAAAGATTATATAATTGACTAGTAGTTCCACCCATGCGATATGGTTAACATGACGTGAAATATATTTTGAAATTAATTTGTTCTAATCAAAACATTTAATAAGTTTATAAATACTTGATATAATTTATAATTTATTTATTTTAAAAATATTAAAACATATAGAATATAAAATTACATAATTTAATCTAATTCTGACTTAAACTCGTAGTTAAATTTGATTGATAAATTGATATAGAAATACGTATTGTATGGTTGAAACATATGGCTTTTATAATATATAACTAGCAGTCAAATATCTATACTATATGGGAACGTTTCCAGTAAAATCAAGTTATGAGGCATAGTAAATCATATGATCCATAATGTGATTTTACTGGAAACGCTCCCATATTATACATCTATATAATATCCCTAATTTGTAGTAATAAAAATTACGAAATACAAAGATTTAAGTAAACTGATATGACATAACAAATCATTAAATCTCTGGTATATAAATAAGCCATTTTTTCTTGTAGTTATTCGCTCTTAATAAAGACTAGATTATTTTCTATAACTTTTTTAACGTTATCATGAGTGAAAATATTGTATTACGTATGTATTAAAGATTTAGCAAATATACGTTTTAATTCTACTAACATTGTCATTCACTGTATTAGGAAAAAAGGTATGTCAAAAGTATTACAAGATGTTTACAATGATTTGGCTCTAGAAGCAATGATATTTTTTAATGGTCTTAAAAGTGACAAAGAAATGACAGATTTTCTTAAAAAGATTCTAGCTACAAAAAAAAAGTCAAGTAAAAAATGAGTATGTTGATGTGTTATTATTTTTCTGTGTTTTTCACTTAAGTAACTGTTTAGCTTCTTCATTTTCTTTCAATTAAATAGACATTGTCATTAATTTTTTTGCTAGTACGGTTGTTTTTTTTATTGTCATCAGTTTTATTATGGCTACTGGGATATCTGAAGAGAAAACTGAATCGAAAATTAATTAATTTCATAAACATATTCTGTCCAATAAATTGCAATTGTATTAGTTCTATTTTGTGAAAAGTATTTGATAAAAAGCTTCTGTTTTAGAGGTTGAAACTGGTCCAAAATCCATAACCGGCTAATTAACTGGTTAAATAAAACTTAGGCTGGAACTATAAATTTGGGCAGAGCTAACAAAATATTTGTAATCTTAATTCTGACCGAAATTTAAACTTCGGCTTGAGTTAAGATTAACTGGTTAAGGAAAACCTTTAACCGGTAAAAAAGTAACCAGTTTCAATCACAAGTTTGCCATTATTTCTTTCTAGATTATGATTGGGAATAATGAAGCGTTTTTGACCGGAAGTAATATTTGCGGATTGGATCAATGGTTTGTTGAAAAATTAAAGATTTTATAATGAAAAATAATTAATGAATTATTAAATTTCGATTTATATAGGTTTTATTTATTCATTGCGCAATGTAACTATATGTATGTATCAACTATCAATATACCATTTCTGTTAACATCTATACACTTTTGTTAGCAAATCTATATTTTTACCCATAATTTAGGTTGCGTGATTCTTGTGAATAGCTTTATTTTCTTTTTGCAAACTTTAAATATTCACACCACTAAAACGCTTTGGTTTTTTCTTTACGTTGTAGAGTCAACATTTTCATTAATTAAGGCACAGCAATACAAAAGGAAATGATCAACATTACACAGTAAAAATTACAAGGAAAAGTCATATGATAAAAGTTGGAATAATCATTTTATTAAAAGAAGATATAATACACGGATAAATTACGGACCGAAAAGAAAGATTACACGAGACGGATAAATTTCGGAAGGAAATAATTCGGATAAATTAGTTACCGAAAGAAAAAGGATAATTAATTAACCGAACGGAGGGTCAAGGAAA